TGCAGCAGCTTCCCCTTGGACCTGTAGCCATTTTAGACACTGTAGAATCTTATGCCATACAAACACAACAGAGCATCTATATAATTCCTTCTTAGGTGGAGGAACTCTCAGTGCTCATTTAAGATTCGCAGATTGGTAAGTAGGAAGGGAACCGTTTGCGGCATTGAGTTCATACCTGTGTAGGTCTGAGGCAGCAGCCCTGTCCCTCACTGTCATCCAGGATGCTGGGATGCAGGTGTCATCCCTTTAAGGAGGGCTTTTCTGGCGTGCTAGGTTCTCCTTCTTCACTTTATCTGTTAACCTTATGGTATTTCTTTCTGTATAGGCATTTATTAACTAATGACACTACAGAAGCATGTGTATTTTCTTAAATGCATAATGTACTATGAAGTTGGCTGGGACAAATGACTAGGCTGATGTAAATTTACAATTATTCCTTTGCCTTTCTGTGCCCTTGTAGAACTTGGTGATACCTGCAAATGTGTCTCGTGGTGTCTTAGGGAAGTTGATGGAGTTGAAACATTCGTACGAGGTGTCCTTGTTTCCTCCAGAGGAAGGTTGCATAAGAGAGTTTTCATCAGCTGTGTAGGGTGACTCACTCCTCATTAGGATATGCTTTAAACATTTTGAAATGTAGTGGCTCACTTAGAATGGGCAGGGTTTCCTTTTAAAATTGTATAGATGGTTGTAAAATTAAACATAAGAAGAAGGAGATAAGATAAACCCAGACTCATCATTCATTTGCTATCCTCCCCTGTAATACCTGACCAGGCATGTTTTTGTTCCTGAGCTAAAATTGGAGCTCTTCAGTATAATTTGATTTACACTGATTCCCCCTGCCTTGCCCCTCCCCCCATTCTCTCACTCATCTTTGGGGTACTGTCTAAATAATAGTTTTAGAGAGTCATGCTTTCAGCAGTTACACAATTAAATAAGAAGTACTAAAAATGTCTTTCTACAAACAGTTCGCATCTCTGAATGAGTGTTTTCTGCAAAATAGAGACACAGCTGCCCGGAATCCTCTTTGGAAAGAGAAGGAAGAAGAAGAAAACATTGGTGGGGGCGGTTATGAGTTCACTTGGACACAGTGCCATCTCACACTTTGAGCTCATTTTTGGCATTTTACTTTCTCTTTGGATATCTTCACCAATGGCAGTCTTGATGCTCTGAAGCTGGAGATGAATTTTTGAACTAGCTAATAACCATTTGTTGTTGTTGTTGTTTGCTGTCGAGTTGGACCCAAATCATAGTGACCTCTCCTTGGGTTTCCAAGGCACTATCACTATGGAAGTAGATTGCCCAACCTTCCTTCTGAGGAGTGGCTGATGGGTTTGAACCGCCAGCCTCCTGGTTAGCAGTCAAGTGCCTTAGGCACTACACTGCCAGAGCTCCTTTAATGACCATTTTAGCCTA